TAACCCCAGAGTATACCTTACATGAAGTTTTTAACCGTAAGGTTTGTATGGTCTTTAGTCAGGCATTAAACATACCAGCTACATTTTGTTTAAATTGTCTTCACAACTTTTTACCTATTCTGAAAATGTAAAAAAAAGGGGTAAAAAATCTTTCAAAATATCACAGTACAAACCTGACTCTGCACTGACACGGCACTGACTGTTTTAGATTGTCATCCTCCACATCATCTTGTCTTAGGCAGGGTATGACTGGAACTTGGGTTACACATGTCCCTGATACTACTGGTTGGACTTCCAGCTTTAATTTCCCATTCCTCATTTGATGGATTATTTGACATCAAGTCACTGGCTAAAGTGGTCTCACCTGTAGAAGTTATAACATTTTTTTAAAGATCCAGCTACAAACTTCATCAGCTGTGCTGTGTGCTTAAAATTACAAAAATAGGTTTTCCATCCTTAAAGACCCATTATTTCTCTGTGACACCAAAATATTGCACTGTGTGATGCTAAAATATTGCAACTGGTGATAAAGACCTATAGCTGTTGCTGTAGTATTGTAACTTCATATAAGGGGGTTTAATCTAATGCAACATAGTGCATTCCTTATTAAAAATAACTTTTCACATTTGTTAAGCAGCATCTCAGTGTATAGTATTCCCCCACCCTCTCTTTCCATTTGTGATATACAGAACTGGACAGACATCAACATATAATAAAACAATATTGGCCTATCATATCACGTTCTGCTGTCCATCCTCCCTCTCCATTACTGATAAAAAGACTAGACATCGATCACCATCTAATTAAACAACGATGGTCTAGCTATCATATCACATGTTCTGCTGTCCATCCTCCCTCTCCATTACTGATAAAAAACTAGACAGACAGCAACATCTAATAAAACAATGTTGGCCTATCATATCACATGTTCTAACCTGTACATGTAGGTGTACAGCTGTATGCCTTACTCCTCTTCCCACCACGCTCCTCTTCCCACCAAGTAGCATACCATGGCTATCATTATAACCCCTGCCAATTGTTTAATCTTCATCCATTCTTGCTCCATTATTTCTCAATAAGGGGGTCTCTAGCTTGATGATGGTCAGCTCTCATGTCCTCTATCTCACTCATGGATTATATGGATCAGTTAAGGTCACTGGGTAAAGCAGCTGCCAGGAATTACAGTTCTTTAGTCTATCTGACCAAGATTTATTGTTTTTTTTTTCTTTTCAAAAAGCTAGATGTATGCAGCCAATTAGGCCTAAGTGTTTTACTACATTAGGAATTAATAAACATTGGGTCCATCAACTACAGGACATGACTGCCACAGGTATTGGGTCTATCTTTACAGGGAAACAAGTTCACTTTGTCCATTTTCAGTGAGACATTTCCTCAATAAAACAAATGCCTTATCTCCTCTGGTTTTGAGAATGTTAAGAAAGACGGCAGGCCGCTGAAGGAGGTGGTAGAGATAGACTTGATGTGATTATTGTTCAGAACTAACTGCAGTAAATTGGTCAAACCTTCAAATGCTTGCTGCTTTTCGTTTCTCTTCTGATAGATTAAATGGCTCTTGGTCTGATGCATTATTAGGCATCCAGTCAACCGGTGAATTGTAGGTACATGGCTAGTTTCTTAGTTCAAATGACCAAGATTAACTATTTGAATTTTTTTGCCTGTCAAAACGATATTACAGGCCAGAATGGTCAAATCTTTTAAGCACATCCAAGACTACTGAACATTTGAGAATACAACTACATGACATGACTGCTGCAGGTGGTGAGTCCACACAGTCAGTTTTACTGCATTTCCTATATTTAAAGAGGGAAACAAGCACACTTTGTCCATATTACTTGAGGTATTCCATTGATAAATTAAATGCCCTGTCCCCTTTCATTCTGTGAATATTTAGGAAAGTTTGATTATCAGTCTAGGAAAGTTCCCTTACTGGATCAATCTAAGAAGATCAGTATGTCCTTGTTCCTGAAGACATAGACACAGAGTATTATGTGCCCTGACAGGTTTCCTGGTTAAAATGTCCAGGAAGACAGCAGTTTTTTCTGGACATACCACTCTGGTAGCTGAGGTTTGGTCATGGTGTTGAGGAGGCTCTGCTCTAACCATTTCAGCTTCACGAAGGGTGATGATGCCTTCTTGGAGGAACTCATTTAACATGTCCAGGAGACAGGGTTCTGTGATTTTTTCACAAAGGCTTGTTTTTTCTTTATTCAGAACTGAAAACAACAAAACAGCTATTTTTTAATGATATTCATGACAGATAAAAATATCTGTTGTTGTTACATAAAAATTGAATTTTAGTGGAAAATTTCAATATTAAAATAAGGATTTGACACATGGGCAAGGGCAAGTGTAGAAGAATAGAAAAGACAGAAAAAATCCTTACTGCTTTAAGAACAGTTACTTACATGTTAACTAAGCACATGGAGATAATATATGAACATTTTTATAAAAATACAGTACCAAGTATGGGAAGACGGTAATTGGGGTTATGTTTTTATAGCTAAAATGCAGCGCTTTATGAAAACAGATGAATGTAAAACCTTTTTGTTTGTATGCTTTTTGGATGTCATGTTTAGGTGAGGGCAGTTTGACAATATTGTTGAGCAAAGAGAAACAAAAGAAAGAGAACAATGCCATTATACTGCTGTGCTTACCTTCCTGCCAGCTCATGACCAGGTGTGGTGGGTAGACAAGGTCTGCAGGAATGGAGACACCAGTGTTGACACATCTCCCCTGTCTTGGTTTGGAAGCTGTCCCCAGAGTTAGGTCAAGTATCTCTCCAGGGAAGAGTGTTGGGTGCTCACAGTCCTCACTCACACAGTGGGGACACACCAGATATTTGTCATATGACAGCCCAGGCCAGTCCTCTTTAATGATGTTCATGAGGTCATCGTGACCTTGTCTGAAAACACCCCACATATCTGAGAGATTTGATCCACGGACAGCAATGCTAATAAACCAGTCTTGGACTTGGATGACTACATCAGGATTTGACTGGTGTGTCCCCCGTGTCAGCTGCAGTTTGCATCCTTTTAGTTCTGCATACACGCCATCCTTCCAGTCCATTCGTATGGTCTTCATGAGTCCGAGATGCTTGTGCTGGCGAACAGAAAATTTCTCATATAAGCCATCTGGACATTTGTATGGAAAGAGAATCTGCAGGGTCAGTTGAGTGGTGTCTGGGGGCACTTTGCTGGGCCATTTTGTGTCTAGCTCAGGTTGCCTTTCTTCAGTGAGGAGCCATGGAAAGTGGAATGAGGTGTTGGATGAAAGGGATTCATCTTCCTGGACTTGATAACACAGCTCCAGTTTCTGCATCAGTTCTACCATGACATCAGCTTCAGTGGTTGATAATCTGAAAGGCTCACATAAGCAGTCCAGTGCTTCTCTGGAAATGATGCCTCTGCTGAAGATGTCATCATGGATTTTCTTTGCTTTAGGTTCTGATATACTCATGGACTGTTGGAGTTTGGACAGAACAGCATCACTCTCATGATTGAGCACTGCTTTGAGAACATTTGCAAGAACTTCTTGCCTGTGAAACACAACTCTCTTCAGAGTAGGGCTTGAATCGAACCAAATGATGTCACCACGGTCAGCAAGAAAACTTAAAATGTCACATGTTGCCAAATCGAGGTCTTCATTAGAATAATTTCTCTCTTTCCAGAGTGTTGGAGCAGACTGCAGAATGAGGTTTTGTAACATGTCCCAGCCAAGTGTATTTTCAGAGCCTTCATATTTCTTGGTGCAAACCATGGTGGCAGCATCAACCCACATTTCTGGTAAAATTACAGCACGCTCTCTTGCAACAGTAACAAGGAAGTGTTGTAGTTCCTCAATTCCCTCCATGGTCACGGAACTCACCCCAAAAATGTCATCATGGATGTCTATGACTTGGCGTTGTAAGGACTTCAGTTTACTCTTCTTATCTTCATAGGCTTGAAGGATGGATGTCTGGGTTCTATCTGTGTTCAGAATTTTCTTCTCAATGCTCTTTATTTGAGACTCATACCATTCTTCTTTCCTTTGCCTGTGATCTTTCAGTTTGCTTTTTATTATAGAACATTTTGCACTGGAGGCTTTATCTTGATCTAAATGAGTTCCCACTACTGCCATCTTTATACCTGGCATCTGTGCTTGCACCTTGTCAATCCAGTGCCCAATGTGGAGCTTGTAATGAGCTTCATTTTCTGTGTTGTATGTAGACAGATCAAAAGTGATGAAAACCAAGCCACATTTGGAGATAAAAATGGGATGTCCAATTTTGTAGACATCATGTCCACCAAAGTCATTGATATTGAAGTTAATATCTTGGTCAGTCTTCCATGTTCCTTGTTCTACCACTCTTGTCCTGTCTGCTGCCTCTGTGAATGTTGGCTGCCCAAGTTGCAATGTACGTGAAATGCTAGTTTTCCCTGCTTCTGTTTCACCAAGTAGATTGACCTGTATTCTACTTGACTGCATTGCCTTGGTGTCAGTTAATGCCTCAAAGTACCTTTTGATGGCATCTAGTCCCCTCTTGGCAGTATTTTTAGGTGGTTGTACCAGAGGATTACCATAAACATCTAGTTGTCTAAGGCTTTCCATATTCTTCATTTGAGGTGGCAGGTGAGTGATGTTCTTGCCTACCAGGTGAAGTGACTCAAGTTTTGTTAGCCTGATAATATCCACTGGTATGTCAGATAGCTGGTTGATATCCAGGTTCAGCTTCTCTAGGTTAGTCAAACCACACAGTGCTGTGGGGAATGTAGTGAAGGCATTTCTAGAGAGGTTGAATATTCTGAGTACCTTTAACCTGCTGATATCCACTGGTATGTCAGATAGCTGGTTTTCATCCAGGTACAGCTCCTCTAGGTTAGTCAAACCACACAGTGCTACTGGGAATGTAGTGAAGGCATTGATATTGAGCCAGAATATTCTGAGCACCTTCAACCTGCTGATATCCGCTGGTATGTCAGATAGCTGGTTACCACCCAGGTACAGCTCCTCTAGGTTAGTCAAACCACACAGTGCTACTGGGAATGTAGTGAAGGCATTGTGGTATAGTGCCAATAGTGTGAGATGTGGGAGGTTGGATATGGACTGTGGTAAAGAAGATAACTTGTTAAATATTGCAGATATCTTCTGAACATTTGTGCACCTGTCAATGGACTCTGGTAGGTTGTCTATACCAGCACAGTTTATATGAAGCCCAGTCCATTCCAGCACAATGTCTGGTGTCTTGGACTGTGGAGACAACTGTAGCCTATGTAAGAGATCAAGTCTCTCTTTGTCTGCTACTTGTCTGTAAGCCATGTCTTAGGAATGGAACAGTAGGAAGAGGTGTCACTGCTCTATATGTTTATGTTCATAGGTAGAACTATTTGAATGTTTGAGTGGGAAATAATGTGTTTTTCACCAATTTTAGCAGTCTTTGCCCAATGATAACAGACATTTTGCTTTAAAGTAAATGATTAACTCAATCTTTAAATGATATCTTTGGTCCTTGAATGTTCTTGTTATCTGAAATTAGAAAACGATTAATTGGTAGAAAAAGTGGCAGTTACTTTTCTTCAGAAAGCTATATTCAGTAGTTTGATATGTGGGGTTTGTTGCCAAAATTTAAATTTAATTTATTTATTTTAGTCTCCCAACATATGCAATTGTATAGCTTAGCTGCTACTGTACCGGTAGACAGTGACAAACTGGTAATATTTTGTAAATATTTTAAACATTGAGAAATATTTCGGTGACTGTAGCATTCATCATTTGACACAAGTTGTGAATTATGACATTAATTTTTGGGTGCATTTTAAAATCTTTGCATGATGTGAAAGTAAAAAATTTTGCATAAAGCAGTATTTTTATTACCTCATGGGATGTAATATGGATGTCAACAAGTATACAGGTTTTCTGAAAAGAAATTAAGGAGATTAAAAAATGTGTTCAGTGCCTTTACTGGTAAATAAAAATCAACAGAAAAAGCAGGTGTTAAGTATCTCTATCTTGCACAAACTATTCTAATATTGTTTTATTACTGTTATGATAATTCATGAAGAATTAATGTATTGAAAGTATTTCTGAGTTTTAAGTCTCCCAACATGAAATGGTTAAAATTAAATTATGGCATTAAAGTAATCTTTTATTGAATATTAAAAGAAGTTTCAATAAAATTATAACATAACATACCTTCTGACTAAAAGTTTTTAGTTTTGGATGGCATGATATGCATCTGGAGAAGCATACAGGAAAATTTATGTACTGCTGAATATTATGCTTTCTGGAAAAAGAAAGAAACATACTGTTGAAAGCCACGTATTCTCTCTCAATAAGTAAGAAAAAAAGATCAGCAGAAGAAAGTAGGTGCTAAGCTGAGCAATAGCAATTTTAGCTTAAAACCACATATTAGATGGTTTAAACAGGAAATTAAACACAAAACATCCCCAAACCAACTGCCTGTAAACAAACAAGATCCATTTGAAATTGAATGCCAAACACACTTAATCCATAGAAATAACAAGGCAGCAAAGCTGTCAAATGTACAGACAAAAAACAGAAAATAAAGATGCAAAAAAGGTCATTTTGTCAATTTTGATGCATTAATAAATAATGCTTATAATAGCACTGCCAGTCAACACTGAATTTTAATCATGCACAACAGGTAACATGGTCAATAACAGGAGCGGACCCTGAGATATTTTCTGACAGTATTCCAAAGTATCTATGTTGATCCATCCTCCACTTTGATGGTCTTCCAACAGAAAAAAATAGATACCAGTCAATATAAACTTAATAACTTGACTGTCTTCCGGAAGACCCAGAAGATGGTCTCAATCCACCCCTTCAATAAGATTACAGTTTCAGGTCCATGAGAGACCAAAGTCGCACGATGAAAGTCTCAATATTTGAAAAATGATGACAGTGCATAAAATAATATTACATAATGTTTAAAGACATAAAAACAATAGAACTGCTTCTGTGGAAATACGGAAAATTTTGCAGAGCCTCGAGCGGATTTGAGTTAAAAGTCACAAATGCAAGTGTTTGAGAAAAAATTATAAAGGAAAACATAACAAAACTAGAAAAGCACTCCGAGAGTGCAGACCTCTGCCAAGGCAGCAATTGTTGATTATTATTGATTGATAATTGAGCCAGACCACCACCAAAAACTAATCATTGGCCCACTTCTGACAGTTCCTGAAAATTTCAGCGAAATCGGTCTATAACTTTTTGAGTAATGTTGATGACAGACAAACAGGGGTGAAAATATAACCTCCTTTGCAGAGCCTGAGGTAAATATAATTCCAATGATGCTGCTATT